AAAAAAAAAAAAGAAAAGAAAAAAAGCTAAAGAAAACACCGAATCCCGACCACAGCCAGTGACGGATACAGAGAACAATGACAAAGCGGAAGAGGAAACAGACCCAGTAAACTCCCAGATAAGCGAACGGCCTGGCAGCAATGCAGCGTAGTGCACAAAACCAAGGCTCAATTAGGGCCTCCTCTCATCTGAGTCACGTGCTTACCTTGACTTTGTCTCTATTTTTATCCATGCTATGCACGAGTGTGTGTGTCTGGTACACACACATTAAAGGATTAAGGAGTATTGGGGAGTCTATCACAAAACACAGCAGCCCGCGTCCCTCTGGCATCACTTGTGTCACTACTCGCCCTCCTTTTGCTCAGCTCAGGCTCTCGGTGTGACCGAACCCTACATAACAGCCTGGGGTGTAACCCCCTTGGTTCTGCTGGGGGTGATCTACTGCCTACCCTGCTCCCGGGCTCTCTTCCTCCCCTGGCACTTTATACAACCATGCCCTTCTTATCCCCACACCTTCTCCAGATATGCATATCATCATTTCAATTAGAGTAGTAGTTGATGTTTACATAAATTAATATCATTGTGCAAAGGCTATTCACAGCTAGCCTTGCTGTGTACCATAATTATCTTTCTTTTTCCGTACAACGGTTTATTTTCCCTGGAACTAATGACAGTTCTGTTTTCATTTACTTTGTTTTCTACACTTATCATTAGTCCAGCCCCAACTCTGCCAACTGTCTAAATCTTCTTTCCAGATTCCCAGTACATGGAGGACCCTATCTTCTTCCCCTCAAAATCTGAGAAGCCATCTCACCAGCTCGGGTTATGAGATGTCCACTCTCTCTCTTCATCTGGTGGATTCTCTCCACCTCCCCTGAGGAAAATCCCATCTTCTCTAGTTGTCTTTCTGGACTCACCACCTCGATTAAGCAGGGCACACCAGCCAGTCACTTTCTTAAAGTATGTGAGAGGCAAACTTTTGGAGCATGTCTGAATGTATCTTTACTCTCCTTTGTCTAAGTATAGAGTTCAAAGTGGAAAACTGTCTCCTAGAACTCTAAAAGCCATGCTCAGTTTTCCAGCTTGCAGTGTTGCGCTGGACAGGTGTCCAAGCCACTCCACCATACCCCGGGACGACCTGCGGATGGCCTGTTTGATTCCTCCTCTACAAGCCAGCACAATGTCCTTGTCCTGGGGTTCTGACATTTCCCAACAACGGGCCTTGGAGTGGGTGTGTACATCTCTCTCCATCTGAACTCTCATTATCCAAATTCTGGAATGACAGCTCCAGAGCACTTCCAAGGAATCCCTTGTTTCCAAACTCTCGCTGGTGCCTGTGGGAAACTAAGCACCCCTCCACTGCCAGACACCCCCCAACTGCACATTTCCCAGGTGGGGGAACAGACAGGACGGTGGAGGACCCCTGCACTGGCATCCCGGTGCTTACTCGGCGGCCCTTCAAGTCCCGAAGTTTGAGGTCCAGGAAGTTATCTTGTATCAGTTTGTGGATGATTCCTCCTATTTTCTCTTTTCTTTCTTATTATTTAGCTGAGGGCCTCCTAATCTAACCCTCCCATTTCCTTTTTCCATTTTTTTAATCTTTGCTTTTCTGTCCCTCAGTGCCTCAACTCTATTTTTCATGCAACTGAGGTGTTGTTTTTGGTTTCTCTGCTGTTGTGTTTTTATATCCAAGAATTCTTTTTGGCTTTGAATGCTTTTTCTCAGAGTCCTGTTCTTGTCTCATGAATACAGTATTTTCGTATCTCCATGTGTACATTGGTGACCATTTGCTTTCTAGGTCTCCTTCCCCACTCTCTCCACTGCTTCCAAGTGTGGGTGATGATCTCTATTTTCCAAATCAGAGGATTCTTCACATGTCCTTGGTTACCTATTCCTGCTTAAGGGGAAGGGGATTAAAAGAACTTGGAAGCTTTGAGCCCAGGGAGGGCGTTATTAATTATGAGCTTCATTAATGAGTCATCCAGCTGGGCCTCCTTAGTCGGGCACCCCTGATGTTACCACTTTTAGATGCTTTCTCTGTGGCTACTCCCATTCCCCAAAGACTCTTCCATTCTCCTGCCTGGGGGGCAACATGCCAGCTGGTGGTGATCTGGGAGCCGCAGCTCCATTCACTGCACCCTCTTGTGTTATGTACAGCAGGGCACCCGGGCACCCACCTGCTTTCCCATTCCTCTGAAATATTTTTAAAGTTCTCTAAACAGTTAAAGAAGCCACCACCTTGGTTAACTGCAGGAAGTACTGAGTTCCTGGGTCAGTCATCATTAGGCACATCTGTTGGCAGGTGACAGGAGAGCCACCAGCTCTGGCTGCAGCCACAGACAGGTGTGAAACCAGCCACAACTTTCTGAAGAGAGAGAAAGAAAGAACTGAAAAACAGAAACAAAGATGAAAGGGTTTTTATAATAAACTAGCTGCCTTTGTTTCAGTATTACCAATAACCAGTCTCATTTCCACAAAGGGAACTTCAGCCTTAGACCTTTCTAGAAGTGAATCGCCCACCAGGTGTGGTGAGTGCAGGGGCACTAAACTGCATGTCCCAACCAGCATGCTTCCCTCCCACCGTCTCTCGCTTTCAGGCTGATATTGCCCAGGATTCTGCCCACCACAAGAGCATATCTCACCCAAGTGGCCAGCAAATACTGCACACTCTACGTGACTAAAAATCAAGTGTGCTTTTCTTCTCCCTCCTCCAAAGCGGTCCCAGCTTTCCCCATCGCAGAAACCGGCTAGCCCTTCAATCGCTCAGGCGAGAGCCGGTGGTCTGCCTTTTTTCTCTCCCTTCCATCACATCCCTTCCTGTGGACTCTCAAGCTTGTTTCTACCTGGTGCCTCTCTCCACCTCTTGGCCACTATTCTGGACCCACATGCCCAAAACTGTCCCAACTCAGCCTCCATCTCCCAGTATCCGGGTCCATCCCCCACATTATGACAAGTTACTTTCCTAAAACACAGATCTGTCATATCCCACCCAAAACCTTGTCACTCTTCACTGAAGGGCTAAAAGTCCAGTAGAATAGCATCAAGGCCGTCAGTCAGACACCTCTTTCCCACCTTAGCTTCCACCCCAATCCTCAAATCTCCTCCCACAATGAATAAAGGAACTCACTTCCCCCAAACATCCTATTCACTCCCCCATCTCCAAACACCCCACTGCCTCCACCTGGAATGTTCGCTCCAATCTCCACTCATTTCTCAAGGCCCAATTCATGTCGCCTCCACCCTGGAAAACTTCTCCAATACCAAAAAACAGGCTGAGTTGCTCCCTCCTTTCTTTGCACTTTGTGAACGCCTACAGGACAGCACGGATCACACTGCTACAGTCAGGCTAACCACTTCAGCGGCCAGCCCAGCCTGGCATCTTACATGACTACAGGCTCACTCCATGTCTGCCCAACTGACCAAGCAGGCGCACACTGAGTTGCAGTGAGCAGCGCTGCTGGCCTGAAAACACCAGCCCAAAATTCTATAAACAAATTGCAAGAAAAAGAGGTGTCTGTATGATTCCACCCAGGCGCTCTCTACTTCACCGCCGTGCCTCCTTCTATCGCAGTTCCCTAGGTGTCAGCTACGGCTAGAGTGCTGACCAGACTGCGCTCTGTGAGGTGAGCGTGTCAACACCTGCGCGCCCTCACCTTACACGGCGCTTCTCAGTCAAGCTTCCATTTAGCGTCCTAATAAGCCCGTTCCTGCTCCTTCTACACCCGGACAGCAACCCCCAAGTCACCTTCCCAGAACCCGACGCTCAGAGAGGGCTGTGTCCGGTGAGCGGCCGCGGGGACCGGCGCGGCCACTTCCCGGCGTCCCAGGGGACGGTTCCCGAAGCCGCGCAAAGCGCCTGCACCCGCAAGTCGCACTGCCACTCTTCCCGGTCTCCCTGCGGGGGTCGATTATAAGCTAAATAATCTAATAACCGTGGACACCTTGCGGCTCGTGCTCCGCACCAGGCGCACCCTCGGCCCGAGCCAACGGCTCGCCCGCGAGGCTCTGAGCCCACACAGATGTAAGTCCCACTGTTCGAAACTAACCCGGGGCTCCCTCTGCTGAAGCAGCAGTGCCGCTTCGGGGACGGGCGCTGCGCGGCCCTCTCCCCGGCCGCACGCTGGGTCCGCAGCGGTGCCCACGGCCGGGGTGCCCACCGCCAGGGAGTCGGGGGCAAGGTGCCCAAGGCTGGGGGCACCGCGGCACCGCGGCTGCTGAAACCACAGCCGCCCTCCGCCCGGGCCAACAGGACGCTCCGCGGGGCAGGGAGAGGCCGCCTGGGCCCGCGGGCACCAGCGCCCAGAGAGGGTGCGGGCCGCGCCAAGGTCACACAGCGACCAGGCGGGACTCGCGCGGGGCGGCAAGCCCGGCCCTTGCCGGCGGAAGCGGCTGAGACCGCCCGGGAGCCCGCGCCCCGCACTTCACATCACCTTACCTAGCCTCGCCTCACCGCGTGCAGCCGCCGCCGCCACGCGCGACCCGCAGGCCCTCCTCAGGTGGCCCCTCCATCGGCCCCGCCCCGGGCGCCGGGGCCCCGCCTCCCGCACCTCTTCTCGCGAGAAGCTGCGACCCGCAGAGGGGCCACGGAGGCCGCCGGGTGCCAGCCCTCGACGCGCTTGCGCCCTCCGCACCCCGTCCCCGCCCGCCTCAGCCAGTGCCCTGTGGCGCGGTATTTATGACCCGCCTCCTGGGGCCCCGCCCCATTCCGGCAGCCAATCCCTGCTGCGGGCCGTGGCGTTGGCCCCGCCCCAGCGGCGGGACGGCTGCCGTCTCCCCACAGAGCGTGAGCACTGACTGCGTGCAGGTTCGACTGCCTGCAGAGCGTCGCGTGTCCCGTGCAGCCGGGGCCTGGGACGTGCCACGGCCCTGGGCGAGAGACGGGCCAGGGTGGTAACAGCTCCCACGCGCGGAGTCGGGAGCCAAGGGAGGCGACGCGCGAAGCGCTCGTAACGATTCCCGCGAGCCCTGACTTAGTTGCGGACACGTCCGCGGAGAGTTCGCTCCCTAACTACGCCCCGCCCGCTGCCCCAGCCCTCGCCAGGTTCCCGCGGCCTCCGGCGGACCAGGGCAGCCGCGCCTTCTGCCGCCCTTCCCAGGCCGCCTCGGCGTCCCGAACCCCGCCCACCATGGAGCGCTGAATGCGGCCTTGTCGGAATTGGGTTCCCTCCCGCTCTGTCCCTGGAAGGGGCCTCCTCTCCGCGGGCCGGGAAGCAGACACTACTTGCATCCGAGTCCTACGGACGTGTCATCCTACTAATAGGATTCAGCACCGGCACGTAGCCGGTGTTCCGTATGGTTATCAGGTGCTGGGGCTCCTGTAAAAGAGTTCAGCCCCGCGTGTTAGCAGCAGAGTTCAACGCCCCCAGTTCTGGAGGCTGAAGGTAGTCGGGGTGGGCTGGCCGGGAGAGAGAACCTGCCCCAGGCCTGTCTCGTTGGCTTAATGCCATCTTCTCTGTTACCAGCTTCCCTCTGTGTCTGTCTCAGTGTCCAGATTTCCCCTTTTTGTAAGGACACAGTCATGCTGGGTTAGGACCCACCCCATGATTTAACTTTTGATTTCCTCTGAAAAGATCCAGTCTCCAGATAAGATCAGATTCTGAAAGCCTGGGAGTTAGGAATGCATCACGTGCTTTTTGAGGGGGACACAATTTAGCCCATGCCAGTATTTATCAAAAACTACATAATAAAACCGAATTAGAATGCTGCTTCCTTTTAAATGTCTATGAGAATGGTCACAGTAAATTTTTTAAAGCTGACAATACCCAGTGCTGATGAAGATGTGGAACTGGGATTATCCCCAGCTGCTGGTAGAGTGCAGAGCACACAGCCCCTTTGGAAACAGTTTGGCAGTTTATAAAAAGTTAAACATAAAAGGACCATAAACCCAGCAAACCCACTCCTAGGTATTTGTCTCAAAGAAACAGACATACTTGCACAAGAACTTGCATTCAAGTGCTTTTAGGGACTTTCATAATTGCCCAAACTGAAACCCAGAAATCCTTCAGCTGGCAAATGAATAGACAAACTGGTCCATCCATACCTTGGAATACTACTCAGCAGTAAAAAACTGATACATGCAACATCAAGTATAAACTTCAAATACATGATGCACTGAGCCAATCTTGAAAGAGTGTGTCCTGTGATTCCACTGAAATGACTTCTGGAAAAGACAAAGGGGACAGATGCTTTCTGGACTTGAGCTTAGGAGACAGGTTGACTACAAAGGAGCATGAGGAAATATTAGGAGTGATGGACCTGTTCTATATCTTGAGTGTCAGTCAAAACTCATATAAAAAATGTACATTCAAAAGTATACATTTTATCATATAAATTATACCTCCATTTAAAAAATCTTTATAAATGTTATTTCCCCCAGCTGAGATTTTGCTAATTATGAAGACATACTGCATAATGAACATTAAATGAAATCATTTACCAAGAGGGCTGCATTCAGAGGCACTCAATATTTCCATCAGGCCTGCAATTCCCAGCCTGTTCCTGGAAATGGTGGCCTGCAGAGAGCTATGGGTGCCCCTTTGATAAGGAAAAAGGGTTCCCTGGCCAAACAAGAGCAGGTCACAGGATAAACAATATAAAATGTTTGTCAGCCAGACTTCTCAGACCCTTTACCAGGATAAAACATGATTTTTAAAGCGGTTCTGCATGAGTTCCCCCCAATATCTGGAGGGGTTGGTAAAAGTTTGTTTAAATAGAGATTCCAGCGTCCAGGAGCCAGAATTGTATTCCAGCAAAGCCTTCGTGGGAATCTGAACAGAGAGGTCACCCAGTGGATGCTCGGACTTGGGCTTGGGAAGCAAAGAGGGGCAAGGGTCTCAACGGACAGGACCTGGAACTGAGAAAAAGACCTCTCTTCCCCTGGGGGCAAGATGAGAGGGGGGTTGGGGAGCAGCTGGGTAATGTGGTGGTGTCCCCTTTTGAGG